AACTTCAAACTTGGTATGGTGATTGGTCATGATCAGTAGATGACCCCTATTGATTTTGGGGTCAAGGGGTCAAAGGTCAAGGTCACATTGACCTTGTAAGCAAAAACGGTTTCTGATCAATAACTAAAGAACTTTAAGGCCTAGGAACTTCAAACTTGGTATGGTGATTGGTCATGATCAGTAGATGACCCCTATTGATTTTGGGGTCAAGGGTCAAAGGTGAAGGTCACATTGACCTCTTGGGTAAAAACGGTTTCTGACCAATAACAAAAGAACCCTTAGGCCTAGGAACTTCAAAACTTGGTATGGTGATTGGTTATGACCAGCAGATGACCCCTATTGATTTTGGGGTTAAGGGGTCAAAGGTCAAGGTCACATTGACCTTGTAGGTAAAAACGGTTTCCGATCAATAACGAAAGAACCCTTAGGCCTAGGAACTTCAAACTTGATATGGTGATTGGTCATGATCAGTAGATGACCCCTATTGATTGTGGGGTCAAGGGGTCAAAGGTCAAGGTCACATTGACCTCTAAGGTTAAAACGGTTTCCGATCAATAACTAAAGAACCCTTAGGCCAAGGGCCTTCAAACTTGGTATGGTGATTGGTCATGACCAGCAGATGACCCCTATTGATATTGGGTTAAGGGTCAATGGGCAAGGTCACATTGACCTTGTAGGTAAAAATGCTTTACAATCAATAACTTAAGAACCCTTAGGCTTAGGAACTTCAAACTTGGTATGGTGATTGGTCATGACCAGCAGATGACCTATTGATTTTGGGGTCAAGGGGTCAAAGGTCAAGGTCACATTGACCTTGTAGGTAAAAATGGTTTCCGATCAATTTACTAAAAACGCTTAGGCCTAGGAACTTCAAACTTTGTATGATGATTGGTCATGACCAGCAGATGACCCCTATTGAGTTTTGGGTCAAGGGGTCAAAGGTCAAGGTCACATTGACCTTGTAAGTAAAAACGGTTTCAGATCAAAAACTTAAGAACGCTTAGGCCTAGGAACTTCAAACTTGGTATGGTGATTTGTCATGACCAGCAGATTACCCCTATTGATTTTGGGATCAAGGGATCAAAAGTCAAGGTCACATTGACATTGTAAGTAAAAAACGGTTTTCTGATCAATAACTAAAGAACGCTTCGGCCTAGGAACTTCAAACTTGGCATGGTGATTGGTCATGACCAGCAGATGACCCCTATTGATTTTGGGGTCAAAGGTCAAGGTCACATTGACCTTGTATGTTAAAACGGTTTCCGATCAATAACTAAAGAACCCTTAGGCCTAGGAACTTCAAACTTGGTATGGTGATTGGTCATGACCAGCAGATGACCTATTGATTTTGGGCCAAGGGGTCAAAGGTCAAGGTCACATTGACCTTGTAGGTAAAAACGGTTTCCGATCAATTAACTAAAATCGCTTAGGCCTAGGAACTTCAAACTTTGTATGATGATTGGTCGTGACCAGCAGATGACCCCTATTGAGTTTTGGGTCAAGGGGTCAAAGGTTAAGGTCATGACCAGTAGATACTTGATAACCCTTATTAATTGTTTGATCACTGGGTCAGAAGTCATGCATAATAACCTTATCACATGACTAATTGGCTGCAGATAGGGGGCATACATGTTTTACAAACATATCTTGTTATTATTATTATTATTATTATTATTATTATTATTATTGTTTTATATATACATATTACAGAATAATGATATTACCTTTGCCCTCTTTATATCAATGACTTGAAATAAAATCTCGGCAAGTTCTGTTTTCATTTTCTGTGACTTATTTCTTATCTTTTTCTGTGACTTATATTATCTTTTTCTTATCTTATCCTTTTCTGTGACTTATCTCAACATGTACATTTACCTGACCTTTTTGCATAATGAAACCCCACGAAAAAAAAAGAATTTTCAAATAACACCTGATTTGTGCACTAATGAATTATAAGAGCGTAGCGGTTGGTATATTTGAATGGCTTTGGAATGCACTCTAATACATGATGAAGTACATAAATAAAATGTTTCTTGTGACATATATTGATAAATACCGAGTTATAAACTGATGTTTGGATAGAAAAAAAGAGCATATAGGTTAGATAGTAACCGCGCTCGGAATAGGTCTGCATAGCATTTACAGACCGGTGACCTTTTGAAAACCTCGATCGCAACGCTCTCTCGGTCTTCGGTCTGTAAATACTATGCAGACCTATTCCTCGTACGGTAACTTTTACAAATTGTACCGTTCCAAATCGTGACTTTATTAGTGTTGAGGATTGACCAATTATTTATTAATCATTCTGCAATTGTTATCAAGTTTAGCACCTGTAATTTAATGTAAATGAATCAATATTGCAGGCTTTTTTGTTCACGTTAGTGAACTGTGAAGTTTGTGGTTTATAATGCCCACTGCCTGTTATAACAGTGAATGTTGTGTTTTGCTGTTCCTAGAAATGACCAGTCAGTAATATCTATGTATTTATTCGCCTAATTTCACTTTGGAAGTAATGGGTTTGTCAATGAAACTGTTATGGGTGACTGAATAGAGTAATTGGTTTGTGTATTTGCTAAAATTTGCTTCATTAATTTCTTTGATGAACGCATCTGTGTTTCGTAATGCCGATCATTAATAATACTGGGTTTGTTGTTTTATCAATGTAAAAGTTCTGATGTATCCGTTATTCGCGAGGTTAATGATCGCTAGGGTAGCGTGCTATTAATCACATGCATTGATAAACTTTAATAAGTGTTATAATTGCTTTATTGAAATATTTAAGATAAAACGACTAAACAATCATTAGTAAACATGGAGTGTACCCAGAAGTCTCTTTTTGTCTCGTAATAGGTGGTGACATGCTGTCTGCAGCACCAAAACACGTAGTGTTTATCACTTTTCTATCATCAAACTCTTGAAAGGTTTACCGTAATTGATGTATCTGTGAAATTAATAATTACATCAAAGATGTGTCCTGCATGTTAATATGTAAGTACATGTACAAAGAGTAAGTCCATAGACTTATTGAATGATCTCTTTTATTTATAACATACCATACATTTCTCACGCTAGCATTGTCCGTACTTCCCTTCAGTGTCAATATATTTCTCTGGTCTTTCGGGATCATTGATTAAAGCACTCTTAAGTGTTGAAAATTGAGTGCCGCTCAATCCGATGTTAGTGGTGTAAGGGGTGTTGCATTTTTTCATTATTAGCCCTCATCTATAGATTCAATTGAACCGAGTCTGCAATTTTCATGAAATTTTGTTGTGTTTAATGCTTCCGTAGGATCACTCTTTCTTCAGATTTTTTTCTACCTTTAATAAATATTGAATTTTGACGACAGCATTTTCCTGCTGACAGGAAGTGTGACACCTCTTCACATATGTACAAGGGTAGGCAATTGTTCATGTGCTATTTATTCAGTGGTCAGATGATTCTCAGAGTGATTTAGGACAGGGTTTCAATATTTTTACTTTAAAGCAAATCACCTTAGAGGTTTTCTTGGGATAGAGATGAAACACTTCTGATACGATTTTGACTTACTGACTCCAGATACAATGCATTGGTGGATGGATGGATGGATGGATGGATGGATGGATGGATGGATGGATGGATTGACACCGATCGATCAATAGGTTACTAGGTTTGAAAAATAAATAAGGTCACCTACTGACCATTAAACCACAACTTGTACCAGTATTTGGTTTGTTTCTTACAGAGGGAGTCACAATTACATATCAATCACAAAAAATATGTGTTAAGGAAAAGATATACAGTATCGAAAGTAAAACTATTGTATAAGAATAGGAAATAGTTTTGAATTTTCTTCATGCTATTGCTGTTGTTCTTAGAAGTAAGGATGGAGTAATAATTATGTCAATATGAATATTTTCTGTTTAAAAACATGTTGCATTAAATTGCATCGAATGTTTCTTTTTCAACATGTCACTTACTAAATGAACTGATAGAACCCTTTCTCACTCCTTATATAATCATTATTTTACATACAAAGAAACCTGGACTAAATTTCCTACTTATTATCTTTCCTTATGTTCCGAATGTCAGCTAAGAAAGTGTGCAAAATGTTTGATCAGAAAAAAAGACCATCTTGTTCTGATACATTACGTTACCCCATTTTTATACACCTGGTCGTATAAACTTTGTCTTTATCCATGATACACATGCTTGTTACATACCGATAACGTATCGACGTGATATATTTATAGCGAATTTATAATACAGCAAACTTCCTTTTTTTAGAAAAAAAGATTGCTTAGAAAATTGACAGTAGCCGTGTATATAAAACTTTATAATACTGCACGTTTATAACGTCGCTTTATCTGTATTGTATTGAGATCATACAACGTATTTTGCTAAATCAAAAATCCACGAAAATAATGTCTTTCTTTAGTTACATGGCTATATATGAGATTCTATCTTCTTTACAGTTATCTTTTAGTTCGTTTTGTCGAGACATCTTTAAAAAAGGAATATAACAGTTTATAAGTGTTTAATATCCGTCTAGTACATGTACAAAGAGTGAAAATTGAAAATTATATAAAAATATATTTCTATCACACTTGTATACAATTGGTTATGTCGTATGTTTTACGTTAGTACTCTTACAAATTTCCATAAATTTCAATATTTAGATTTAAATTATAAAGTCCTTAGAATATTGTATTGCATGAATCATATATTTCTTTTTCAATAATAATGATTATCTAAACTATTATTATCTTTATCACTCTGTGAAATGTTGAAAGCTTTAACTACATGTGAAATGTGCATTGCATTTGTTATTATAATGTTACGCCCGGAACGGTGAGAGCCTGCTAGTCCCCGGGTAACAATTTATATTTCTCAGGATGTATATCTCAGTAGTAGGCCTATATAGCGGGTAGATCACTATAGTTTCACCTCTATTTGTATTCAACAGTCAGGGTATGTTGTATCAGGAGAAAGCCAGTAGTAGTTTAACATTTCATTTATTCATCATCAATATATTCATTCATGTATACACAGTCAACAGTCATAATACTAATACATGTAGTCAAAATGGGTACATATCCGGAAACCACTCCAGTTGGGTTTGTTTACCTTAGTAACATAGCTAAATGTTCTGTACAAGTTTATAAATGCTTGTAATTTATACGTTTATTATAGTTATTTCAATATATCTAAACATATTTATTAAATGATTCTGGGTACTACCTCTCCAGATGGATATTTTCTATAAGACATTATGCATAGAGGTTGCGTCTGTAAAACGGACAATACAATTGACAAAGTTCAAGGGAAAATCTGGGGTATTTATAGGAAAAGGTCACATGACCATTGAAACAGTAACGTGACTTCATATAATGACGTCACTGAGTACCCAGATAGGTCATGTGTCTATTTGATGACATCACATTGTCTCCATTTGGAATTATAATCAGTACCAACTAATAATGGATGAAACACAAGGCATGGCACAAGTTTTGTGAATTATGTAGCATTAAATAAGGGATTACAAATGGGAAAACTGGCGTAAACATCAAGTATTATAGATATTTTTATAAATCAGAATAGAGATAATAACTGCCAACAAATATTAACGTGGTGTCGTGATGATCGATCGAAATGAACTTCGTAACGATAATATGTTAATATCTTTAAGTGAGTATTTCAAATGGATGCATTTTGTGCCTATGTCACTTATGTTCATCTTGTTATGTAATTGATAATTCATTGATAATACTTATATTGTTTATCTGTAATTTGCATTCATAATTTGTTTATCTGTAATTTGTATATATCTGTCAAAAGTGGAAATAAAATGTATATAACATTAATCAACCGACCAATTGCCACTTTATCATAAATGCACAAAGTGCAAAAAACGGAACATTTAAATTAGATCAAAGTTGCTGTTTCAGAATCACATTACAGTCAATTTTTCATGTTTTACTATTGGCAGGTTATATGTCGATTACCTTTTATAAAGCAAATTTCTCCATAGCATATATGTTTAGCTAAAAAGGAAAGATCTTTGTTCTGATGATTTTTAAAAGAAGTAATGTTGTTATGTACATCGTTTGTAGCAACGACATTACATGTCATTGATGTTATATCGGTACATACCGAGCACACAATTAAAAAATGAGTTTCATCTTAAGTTTATCCAAATTTGCATAATAAACAGTCTTTGATTTGGCGCGTCTTCGACATACCTTCCGGTTACACACATAACACCACACTGAACCTGTACATATATTGAACGGTCATTTCCTTTAAGATTTTGTGACAGGATATATATAATTACATAGTTATTATTAATGTATTTTGTATGATGATATTCTCTGTACAAGTCTCTATTTCTTTCTTGTTTTGAAATATCTAAAAATATTTTTTTAGATGTTTTAAAAAATGTATCTGTCATTTATTTGATTTGTATAATCCTTAAACAATAGTTTTATTTGATTAATTAAATATATTGAATTTAAGATATTTGTATATTCCATTTTATTAATGGGCAAATCGGAATTTCCAACAATGTCACTGGGCATATACAAAAACTAAACATGGTCAAAGCACATATTTTACATAAATAATACAATTCATATACATTTTTGTATCATTGCAATGATCGTAAACTATGTAACACATAGAAATTTAAAAAAAAACACTGAAAATGTTACTGATGACGGCACAGCAACCGTCAAACTGTAAGTACCACCTCTGACAACTGCGTCAGGAAGTCGATTCTGTGCTTAATTGGCTCAGTGCTCTAAATCGTTGTGACTTTCGTTTCTAAGCGGGAGGTCGCGAGTTACATACATTTGCTTCTTTCTGTAACGAAGTAAACAGTTTCGTAAGACACAAAAAATGGTGGAAGCAATAACTTGTAAGTTTTATTTAAGAACTTTGCATTTTCAACAACTTTGCTTTCACGATTACATGCCAAAATTATTATTTATAAATCTTTGTAATACAAAATTCATAAGCTTTGACAAAGAAAGGAATGCAATCAATTTTTTTAAAATTGATTTCGAATATGTACTATACTTTACATGAATAAACCAAGTCAAAATTTAAAAAAAAGAAATCAAATATTACAGAAAAAAATGACTAAACGATGAAATAGTGCCATACATATGTGCATTTGTGCATGTAACGTATAAAATAATTTACATATAAAACAAACGGAAGCAAAGTGCACTGTGAATCATAAACAGCAATACAAAACTTTTTACATTGTATTAAGAATTGTTACTGATATGAGTCATAGTTATGATAAAATGTTTCATTGAAATAGTGTTTACATTCATGTCATATAAGAGTGTTTCATAAACGGCAAAATGTACAATGATAATATCAATCTTCAAATAAAGTAAATGCATATTGTGAAATAAGTGCACAAAAGTAAATACTTCCACAAAGGAAAGGAATCCATTCATACTTCCTATTGAAAACTTCATTAATCATTTAAGTTTCAGATCTTTTCTCATGTCGACATTAATTAGTGAATTAATGTTTGGTCATTTACAAATATGTAAAAATGCAATAACAGATGCCATATACTTGTATTGTCAATATCCTAACATCATTTCTTTGTGCACTAATTTGAAATTCCGTTCTCGGAAAATGCATTTCATTTGCATTGAAAATGACAAAATTATTATCAGTTCCAAAATATATTAACATATTGATATGTTTGAATTTCTACCAATACTTAAGTTAGACACATATCTTAGTCAGTCCAAAACCTTTTAAAGATGCAAAGTTCAAATTTACATTGAATACAATAAATATAGCAATGAAACATTTTAATGAGTAAGTGTTATACATGTATGACAAATCAATATCAATTAACACTTATCATCATATAGTTATTAAAACTTCAACATCAAAATCAAATAACGTTTGTACTAATTCAGTCCGGAAATAGTCCTTATATCGTTTGGAAAATGAATGAGAAATCATCATTGTGTGGAGTGTTCCTGCGCTTAATGAGACCAGATAACACAAGTAATTGTAAATAATCTCACAGTCCTTTAGTTTCTTGAATCAGGTCTGTTACTTGTTTATGTTGTGCTCTAGTATGTGCTATTTTTGGAATAGTTGCAGGAGAATGGTTTGGTGTATTTGTGGCAGACATGCTTCATGTTACTGTAATTGACATGTTCTCATCGCCATTTCTACTCATGGCCTTCTTCTTGTTACTTATTCTACGTTTTGTAATTAGCATATGCCGTAGAATCTTCACTAAAGTCCCTGCTTTCATCGTGCGATTTTACGTACACGGACTCCTTGATAGATTTAATCCACTTTCCACATGCTAATTTCAATGCTGCGCGGCGAAATTTTCTGTTCATTAATCCATATATCAGGCAGTTCCAGAAACTGTTGCTAAGAGCTAACCACGTGACAAAGAAATCGGCTTCATCCGGAAGCGTTTCTTTAGCGGCAACGATAATGAGCGTACAAAGAGTCCATGGTGAGACAGCAACGAAGAATCCACCCGTGATAGCTGCAAGGTATTTCGATGTCCGTATGTTAGCGTTTACCATTTTACCATGCTAAAAACAAACAATCGTTAATGTAGTGAGATTCTTTAGCTTATTTTGTTACGATAGATCTATATTATTACTTAATAACAAAGTAAACTTGCAGTTTCGTGTTAGAGTACAGCGCAATATAGTGTCGCTAGAGTAATATGTAATAATTTCATTCAATGTTATGCAGATTTACCGGGATTTCTTTAAATCATGGAGAATAGTGAGTTAGAAATGAGACTTACCTTATCGTCAGGAGAAACAGTCAAAACCTTTCTCTGTGTGGCAGTCCTGTATATCGAACCATAACAGACAACAAATATAACTGCTGGTACAAAATAAAATATACTAAGAACGGTAATTTTCGGCTCTAGATAAAACGGCTCGCAGTTTATTCCGATGTTGTCGTAGTAAAATTGATCTGTTCCAAAAATAACAACAGCATAACAGGTGAATACTGTCACCCAGGTTCCTATGATGACAAACAAAAACCTTTTTGATGTCATAATGTTGTTGTATCTTGAACAATGTATGATACAGCAACGATCGATAGCTATTAACACCATATTTAATGTTGATTCGTGAAACAAAGCTGAGATAAGAAGAGCTTCAAATTTACACATAAAAACTCCGAAGGGCCAGCAATGTTTGAGAGCTGAATAGATTGTTGATGGACACATTAGCAGCCCCATGCTCAAGTCCGTGCAACACAGTGAGTTCATCATGTATCTAACTCGCTTCATCGTCTTTGGACTGTTGAACACGACAAGGCAGCAAACATTCCCGACTATGATCAGCAACATAATGATTATGATGATAATACATCTTAAAACATCTCCGCCTGTGATCACCTGCGTGTTTCCTTCACATGTAAGTGACTGGTTCAAAGCTCCGTACATTTTTGAATGATCTTTTTTTACGTAAAAACCAGAAGTATTAGATAAAAAGTTCATCATTCATCTACTAGTAAGTCGTTTTCATTATGTTTGATAAATGATCAAGTAAGGTGTTTATATATAGGAGTGTGATGTAACAATGAAAGAGGCTACTTCATTATCCCGTCCCGTCCTTTTTCATTGACTTTTAAGATTAATTTTCCGGTAATTGCTTTTATCTGGTTTGTGCAGTATATTAAATGAATCACAGGGGAGGGATAAATGAGTGCTACAGACAGAGAGTAACAAAGTTTGGTGAAGTCATGGGTGTATTTTCAAACATGTTTATAACTTTCAGCAAAACAAGATAAGTTTTGTTGAATACTTCTAGTATCAAAGACTTTTTTATTTTTTCTTTATTTTCTCTCTTTATTGGGTTTTATTAGGATTATAGTAAGCCATGTATTACATGTACGTATAGCTTTTGTTAAAGGTGAGGACCACCATGAGATATTGTAGCTCTCGGTCCAATTCCTTTCTGCTTTAAATTATAAATCATTAACATGTATATAAACCTTAAATAAAAATATGCCTAAACCAACCAAGAAATAAGTATTATCAACTAATCTAGTATTATTAAAAAGACAAGAGAGAAAATGATACATTAAATTATGACAATTATGCCTTAACATACCAATATATTAATACTTATCTTTAATTTGTTTTTTATGATAAGAAATAACGAGACGTTATATCATCTTAAATTATCAGACATTATATATGCCATGTAAATATCTTAAACATAATTGTGTAATATACATATATATTTTGCTTATTAATAACCTATAATAACCTATATTAATAACCTTATTATAAAGGCTAGAAATGTTGATAGTTTCCTTAAACTGCAAGTAAAGAGCCAGGTGTGTCTGCAATCCGGACAGACGCTTTACTAGTATTTAATTTTATGCAAGGCCAGCGCTCAGTGTAATAATTTAACAGAATGTAAGCCAGTGCGAAAGTCCACTTTATTCGCGCAACTTCTAAAACAAAAACAAACAAAAAAAATACATTATTTAGTCAAGGCATTCAGTACCTTGTAAACTGGACCTATATGATAATAGCATGTAGAAAAGGCCGAGTTAACCTTAAGTTGTTGTCGAGTCATTTTTTGCACAAAAATAGCCATGTGTTAAGTCTTTTTTTAACAGTTGGGATATCTGCGGGATTGTATTTTACCAGGTTTCATTTGAATGTGGGTACTAGTCTGCAAGAAGGTGGGCCGGTTTTTATAAAATATCGATGGTTTGGATTTTTTTCTTTACTCTTTCTAACAACACTTTTAATGAGGATTTGTAAACTGTATTGATATATAACATTGAATAAGGCACCAGAAACAATTTTTTTTCCTTTGTCAGAAATACAAGTTTTATAGCAATTAAATAATGGTCTCAGAGCATGTAACATGCCTGTAGAAAGCAGTGCAGAATGTAAAATTATGTGTTACAAAAGTAGCAAAATGTAAACAAAGAGGTATTTTGGCTTCCATATAAAGAACCAAATCACTATTATAAGTGTACTAATTGCCAAAAAGCAACATGAGCAAAAATGATTCAGATAATTGACCAATGATTAACATTTTGAAAACTATAATATGACACAAAAAAAAGTTTTCGAGAAATGAAAATTAAAGCATTTCTAAGGCATAAAGTGCCTCTTATATAAACGACATTTAAACAGGAAACCCGTCATAACGTAAGCAAGGGGCAGGACATGGTTGCACACTTGGTTCAAGCGAAAAAATTAGTTGCAAACTTGAAAAAATGGCTACCGAGTCATATATATTCACAGATATCGCACATGTTTTCTTTAAATAAGTAGGTTTGTGTGTTATTTTGAAATTTTTAAATTATCCCATTCCTTTAGCAATGTTTATAGCCATTTTGTCAAGTTTGCAACCAATTTTCTCTCTTGAACCAAGTGTGCCACCACTTCACGCTCTGCCCCTTGGTAAGTATCATGAACCGATACGCAATAAAATACCCGGAATTATGAAACATGCTTGACCTTCCTGGCTTATAAAGTGTATATTCATCTTACGCGAATCAATAAAACACCTAAGAATAATAATTATTCTTAGAATAGACTTATATTTAAAATATAATAAGTTTACGACTATGAACGACGTATACCAAGTTACATGTATTTAGACTTATTGATATAGTTATTCACACTTAATTACATAGTTATTTATGTTTCCTTACATATATCTATATACACTTATATACATGTACCTATTTATACACTTAACCGCCTCCGTGGTCGAGGGGATAGAGTCGAAGACTTCTAATCCAGTTTCCTATAACGACATTCTCGTAGTAAATAAAACTTTAAGGTAAGTTATTTCAAAAAGAATATACACTAAATCTATGACTTATCCTTATCAAGTGTCAACATTTAGTTTCATATAATTGTTTTTCTAAGCTTTAAAAATGATTTCGCTCTGAGTGGTTGGTAAAACTCAAAATTGTACCGTTCTAAGTCGTGACTTTATTAGTGTTAATGATTGACCAATGATTTATTAATCATTCTGCAATTGTTATTAAGTTTAGCACTTGTAATTTAATGTAAATGAATCAATATTGAAGCCTTTTTGATCACGCTAGTGAACTGTGAAGTTTGTAGTTTATAATGCATAGTGCCCACTGACTGTTATGACAGTGAATGTTGTGTTTTGCTGTTCCTAGAAATAACCAGCCAGTAATATCTATGTGTTTATTCGCCTAATTTCACTTTGGAAGTAATTTGTTTGTCAAGGAAACTGGTTTGTGTATTTGCTAAAATATGCCTTATTAAGTTCTTTGATGAACGCATCAGTGTTTTGTAATGTCGATCATTAATGTTACTGTCTTTTTTGCTTTTTTTTAATGTTAAAGTCCTGGTGTACCTGCTTTTCGCGAGGTTAATGATCGCGTTGTGTTAATGCTAGGGTAGCGTGCTATTAATCACACGCATTGATAAACTATAATGAGAGTTATAACTGCTTTATTGAAATATTGAAGATAAAACGACTAAACAATCATTAGTAAACATGGAATGTATCCCAGAAGTCTCTTTTTTCTCGTACGAGGTAGGGACATGATGTCTACAGCATCAAAACACTTATTGTTTATCACTGTTCTATCATCAAACTCTTGAAAGGTTTACCGTAATTGATGTATCTGTGAAATTAATAATTACATCAAAGATGTGCCCTGCATGTAAATATGTTTCAAAATATAAGTACAAAGAGTTAGTGCAGAGACTTATTGAATGATCTTTTTTTTTATTTATAGCATACAATACATTTCTCCCGCTAACACTGTCAATATATTTCCTAATATATCAAATAATGAACATTGATGTGACAACTAGGCTAATTGCTGCTAAAACAGGTCGGAAAAATGTTTCCGTATTACTCTCAACATAAGAAAACAACAAATTTTATATACATCAATAAGTAGGGAAAGAAACTCCCTTGCAACATTTAAAACCAATGGCTTCCTTGTAATTGGTTTTCCCTTAAGTATGTTCGAATCCCACGGCTTAAAAAGTTCTCCCGTTCTTCCCTTCAGTGTCAATATATTTCTCTGGTCTTTCGGGATCATTGTTTAAAGCACTCTTAAGCGTTGAAAATTGAGTGCCGCTCAAGCCGGTGTTAGGGGTGTAAGGGGTGTTGCATTTTTTCATTATCCCTCATCTACAGATTCAACTGAACCGAATCTGCAATTTTCATGACATTTTGTTGTGTTTAATGCTTCCGTTGGATCACTCTTTATTCAGATTTTTTTCTACCTTTAATTATTGAATTTTGACGACAGCATTTTCCTGCTGACAGGAAGTGGGACACCTCCTCACATATGTACAAAGGTAGGCAATTGTTCATGTGCTGTTTATTTAGTGGACAGATGATTCTCAGAGTAATTTAGGACAGGGTTTCAATATTTTTACTTCAAAGCAAATTACCATAGAGGTTTTCTTGGGATAGAGATTAAACACTTCTGATACGATTTTGACTTACTGACCCCAGAGACAACGCATTGATGGATGGATGGATGGATGGATGGATGGACACCGATCGATCAATAGGTTACTACGTTTGAAAAATAAATAAGGTCTCCCACTGACCAATTTAACCACAACTTGTACCAGTATATGGTTTGTTTCTTACAGAGGGAGTCACAATTACATATCAACAACAAAAATATGTGTTAAGGAAAAGATATACAGTATCGAAAGCAAAACTATTGTATAAGAATAGGAAATAGTTGGGAATTTTCTTCATGCTATTGTTGTTGTTCTTAGAAATAAAGATGGAGTAATAATTATGTCAATATGAATATTTTTCTGTTTAAAAACACGTTGCATTAAATTGCATCGAATGTTTCTATTTCAACATGTCACTTACTAAATGAACTGAAAGAACCCTTTCCCACTCCTTATATAATCATTATTTTACATACAAAGAAACCTGGACTAAATTTCCTACTTATTATCTGTCCTTATGTTCCGAATGTCAGCTTAGAAAATGAGCAAATTGTTTGATCAAAAAAAGACCATCTTGTTCTGATACATTTCGTTACCTCATTTTTATACACATGATCGTATAGACTTTGTCTTTATCCATGACACACATGCTTGTTACATACCGATAACATATCGACGTGATATAATTATAACGAATTTATAATACAGCAAACTTCCTTTTTTAGAAAAATGTGAGATTGCTTAGAAATTTGACAATAGCCGTGTATATAAAACTTTATAATACTGCACGTTTATAACGTCGCTTTATCTGTATTGTATTGAGGTCATACAACGTATTTTGCTAAATCAAAAATCCACGAAAATAATGTCTTTCTTTAGTTACATGGCTATATATGAGATTCTATCTTCCTTATAGTTATCTTTTATTTCGTTTTGTCAAGACATCTTTAAAAAAAGGAATATACCAGTTTATAAGTGTTTAATGTCCGTCTAGTACATGTACAAAGAGTGAAAATTGAAAATTATATTAAAATATATTTCTATCACACTTGTATACAGTTGGTTATGTCGTATGTTTCACGTTAGTTCTCTTACAATTTTCAATATTTAGATTTAAACTATAAAGTCCTTAGAATATTGTATTGCATGACTCATACATTTCTTTTTAACTAATAATGATTATCGTAACTATTATTATCTTTATCACTCTGTGAAATGTTGAAAGCTTTAACTACATGTGAAATGTGCATTGCATTTGTTATTATAATATTACGCCCGGACCGGGGAGGGCCTGCTAGTCCCTGGGTAACAATTTATACTTCTCATGATGTATATCTCAGTAGTAGGCCGGTAGATCACTATAGTTTAACTTCTATATGTATTCAATAATCAGTGTATGTTGTACAGTAGTTAGTTTAACATCTCATCTATTCATCATCAACATCATTCATTCATGTATACACAGTCAACAGTAATAATAATAATAATACATGTAGTCAAAATGGGTATATATCCGGAAACCACTCCAGTTGGGTTTGTTTGCCTTAGTTACATAGATAAATGTTCTGTACAAGTTTATAAATGCTTGTAATTTATACGTTTATTATAGTTATTTTAATAGGGGAAATATATTTATTAAATTAAATGATTTTGGGTACTACCTCTCCGGATGGATAATTTCTATAAGACATTATGCATAGAGGTTGCGTCTGTAAAGCGGACAATACAATTGACAAAGTTCAAGGAAAAATCTGAGGTATTTATAGGAAAAGGTCACATGACCATTGAAACAGTAACGTGACTTCATATAATGACGTCAGTGAGTACCCAGATGGGTCATGTGATCTATTTGATGACGTCACACTGTCTCCAATCAGTAAAAACTAATAATGGATGAAACACAAGGCATGGCACATGTTTTGTGAGTTATTTAGCATTAAATAAGGGATTACAAATTGGAAAACTGGCGTAAACATCAAGTATTACAGATATTTTTATAAATCAGAATAGAGATAATAACTGCCAACAAATATTAACGTGGTTTCCGGAGTGATAAAAGATGTGTCGTGATGTTCGGACGAAATGAAATTCGTAACAATTATATGTTAATTGTATCATTAAGTGAGTATTTCAAATGGATGCATTTTGTGCCTATGTCACTTATGTTCATCTTGTTATATTATTGATAATTCATTGATAATACTTATATTGTTTATCTGTCATTTTTGCATATGTATATATCTGTCAAAAGTGGAAATAAAATGTATATAACATTAATCAACCGACCAACTGCCACTTTATCATAATGCACAAAGTGCAAAACGGAACATTTAAAGGAGATCAAAGTTGCTGTTATATATGTAAGTTTCAGAATCACACATTTGCTTCTTTCTGTAACGAACTAAACAGTTTCGTAAGACACAAAAAATAGTGGAAGCAATAATATTTTTATGAGTTAGATTTGATTTCTTAACTTGTAAGTTATATTTAAAAACATTGCATTTTCAACAACTTTGCTTTCACGATTAGATGCCAAAATTAGTATTTATAAATCTTTGTAATACAAAATTCATAAGCTTTGATGAAGAAAAGAATGCAATCATTTTTTTTTAATTGATTTCGAATATGTACTATACTTTACATAAATAAACCAAGTCAAAATTAAAAAGAAAGAAATCAAATATTACAGAAAAAATGACTAAACGATGAAATAGTGCCATATATGTGCATTTATGCATGAGACGTATAAAATAATTTACATATAAAACAAACGGAAGCAAAGTGCACCGTGAATCATAAACAGCAGTACAAAACTTTTTACATTGTATTAAGAAATTGAATTGTTACTGATATGAGTCAAAGTTATGATAAAATGTTTCATTGAAATAGTGTTTACTTTCATGTCATGTAAGAGTGTTTCATAAACGGCAAAATGTACAATGATAACCTAAGTAAATGCGTATTGTGAAACAAGTGCACAAAAGTAAATACTTCCACAAAGGAAAGGAATCCATTCATACTTCCTATTGAAAACTTCATTAATCATTTTAGGTTTCAGATCTTTTTTGTAAAAATGCAATAACAGATGCCATATACTTGTATTGTCAATATCCTAACATCATTTCTTTGTGCACTAATTTGAAATTCCGTTCTCGGAAAATGCATTTTATTTGCATTGAAAATGACAAAATTATTATCAGTTCCAAAATATATTAGCATATTGATATGTTTGAATTTCTACCAATACTTAAGTTAGACACATATCTTAGTCAGTCCAATACCTATTCAAGATGCAAAGTTCAAATTTACTGTAAATACATGAAATATAGCAATGAAACATTTGAATGAGTAAGTGTTATACATGTATGACAAATCAATATCAATTAACACGTCATCATATAGTTATTAAAACTTCAACATCAAAATCAAATAACGTTTGTACTAATTCAGTCCGGAAATAGTCCTTATATCGTTTGGAAAATGAATGAGAAATCATCATTGTGTGAAGTGTTTCTCTGCGTAATAAGACCAGATAACACAAATTATTGTAAATAATCTCACAGTCCTTTAGTTTCTTGAATCAGTTCTGTTACTTGTTTATGTTGTACTCTAGTATGTGTTATTTTTGGAATAGCTGCAGGAGAATGGTTTGGTGTATTTCTGGCAGACATGCTTCCTGTTACTGTAATTGACATCTCATCGGCACTTCTACTCATGGCCTTCTTCTTGTTACTTATTCTACGTTTGTAATTAGCATGTGCTGTAGAATCTTCACTAAAGTCCCTGCTTTCATCGTGCGATTTTACGTACACGGACTCCTTGATAGATTTAATCCACTTTCCACATGCTAATTTCAATGCTGCGCGGCGAAATTTTCTGTTCATTAATCCATATATCAGGCAGTTCCAGAAACTGTTGCTAAGAGCTAACCACGTGACAAAGAAATCGGCTGCATCCTGAAGCGTTACTTTAGCGGCAACGATAATGAGCGTACAAAGAGTGAACGGTGATACAGCGACGAAGAATCCACCCGTGATAGCTGCCAGGTATTTCGATGTCCGTATGTTAGCGTTAACCATTTTACCATGCTAAAAGAACAAACAATAGTTAATGTAGTGAGATTCTTTAGCTTGTTTTGTTACGGTACATCTATATTTTTACTAAATAACAAAGTAAACTTGCAGCTTCGTGTTAGAGTACAGCGTAATATAGTGTCGGTTGAGTAATATGTAATAATTTCATTCAGTGTTATGCAGATTTATCGGGATCTCTTTAAATCATGGAGAATAGTGAGTTAGAAATGAGACTTACCTTATCGTCAGGAGAAACAGTCAAAACCTTTCTCTGTGTAGCAGTCCTGTATATCGAACCATAACAGACAACAAATATAACTGCTGGTACAAAATAGAATATACTAAGAACGGTAAGCGTTACTTTTGGCTCTCGACAAAACAGCTTGCAGTTTATTCCGATGTTGTCGTAGTAAAATTCATCTGTTCCAAAAATAACAACAGCATAACAGGTGAATACTGTCACCCAGGTTCCTATGATGACAAACAAAAACCTTTTTGATGTCATAATGTTGTTGTATCTTGAACAATGTATGATACAGCAACGATCGATAGCTATTAACACCATATTTAATGTTGATTCATGAAACAAAGCTGAGATAAGAAGAGCTTCAAATTTACACATAAAAACTCCGAAGGGCCAGCAATGTTTGAGAGCTGGATAGATTGTTGATGGACACATTAGCAGCCCCATGCTCAAGTCCGTGCAACACAGTGAGTTCATCATGTATCTAACTCGCTTTATAAACTGTTTTTTCGTCTTTGGACTGTTGAACACGACAAGGCAGCCAACATTCCCGACTATGATCAGCAACATAATGATTATGATGACAATACATCTTAAAACATCTCCGACTGTGATCACGTGCGTGTTTCCTTCATATGTAAGTGACTGGTTTAAAGCTCCGTACATTTTGGTATGATATATTTTTATAATAAAAACAAGCAAGTATTAGAAAAGAAAGAACATCATTCATCTACTAGTAAGTCATTTTTCATTATGTTTGGTAAGGTGTATATATATAGGAGTGTGGTATAAACAATGAAAATAGGCTACTTCATATCCCGTCTTTTTCATTGACTTTTAAGATTAATTTTCCCGTAATTGCTGTTATCTGGTTTGTTCAGTATATAAAATGCAATATATCGTTTATATGTAACTGACATATCAGACATTATAAATTGGTGCATATCTCGTATTGGGAATCACGGGGGTGTAAATATGTGTTACTGACATAGAGTTTGGTGAAGTCATGGTATTTTATAAGTTTCAGCACAACAAGATAAGTTTTGTCGAATATTTCTGGTATCAGAGACTTTTTTAATTTTTTCTTTATTTTCTCTCTTTATGGGGTTTTATCAAAATTATAATAAGCCATGTATTATATGTACGTATAGCTTATGTTAAAGGAGAGGACTACCATGAGCTATTGTAGTTTTCGGTCCAATTCCTTTCTGCTTAATATAGTAAATTATTAACATGAATATATACCTTGAATAAAAATATGCATGTATTTAAACCAACCAAGAATTAAGTATTACTAAAAATATCTAGTATTATTAAAAAGACAAAGAGAGAAAATTGATCCATTAAATTATGATAATTATGCCTTAACGTACCAATGTATCAATACTTATTTTTAATCTGTTTCTCATGATAAGAAATAACGAGACGTTATATTATCTAAAATTATAAAACATTGTATATGCCATGTAAATATTATAAACATAATTGTATGATATCCATGAATATTTTAATCATTAATAACCTATGATAACCTATATTAATAACCTTTTTATAAAGGCTAGAAATGTTGATAGTTTCCTTATACTGCAAGTAAAGAGCCAGGTGTGTCTGCAATCTGGACAGACGCTTTACTAGGGTCTGCTCAAATTGAAATCCATAAACTTATTATAGAAAGTATTTAATTTTATGCAGGGCCAGCGTTCAATATAATGATTTAACAGAATGTATGGCAGCGCGAAAGTCCACCTTATTCGCGCAACTTCTAAAACAAAAATAAACAAACAAAAGACATTATTTAGTCAAGGCGTTATGTACTTTGTAAACCGGACCTATAGCATGTAGAAAATGCCACGTTAATCTTAAGTTGTTGTCGAGACATTTTTTCCACAAAAATAGCCCTGTTACAACCAGTTTTGCAATAAAAACGAGTTTTGCAATAATTTTATTGCAAAACTCGTTGCGTTGACATGATTTTATTGCAATTTCATTACAACCGGTTTTGCAATAAAAACGATTTTTGCAATAAAATATTTTTTCTAACGGATTTTATTGAGATTATACAAAAGCATTATAAAATTTATCTATGTATATTAGGATTGACATGCAGGAATTATATTCGGGGATAATGAATACATATGCATATGATAAAACATTAATTTACATTCTCAATTTCATTAGTCTTTTTCCTTTTAATATATATGATGAAAGGATGATCATCATGAAATATCAGGACATGTCTATTTACAGCAACAACTCTTTTTGCTCAAATTTCGGTGATATATACACAAGAACTTTTAATAAGGTCTTAAATTACCGGTTCTTTGATGAAGATGTTGCGTTGACATGATTTTATTGCAATTTGATTACAACCGGATTTGCAATAAAAACGAGTTTTGCAAGAAAATATTTTTTCTATCCGATTTTATTAACTTTATACAAAAGACATTATAAAATTTATCTATGTATATTAGGATTGACATGCAGGAATTATATTCGGGGATAATGAATACATATGCATATGATAAAACATTAATTTACATTCTCAATTTCATTAGTCTTTTTCCTTTTAATATATATGATGAAAGGATGATCATCATGAAATATCAGGACATGTCTATTTACAGCAACAACTCTATTTGCTCAAATTTCGGTGATATATACACAAGAACTTTTAATAAGGTCTGAAATTACCGGTTCTTTGATGAAAGAAAAAAAACGAGTTTTGCAATAATTGTATTGCAAAACTCGTTGCGTTGACATGATTTTATTGCAATTTGATTACAACCGGTTTGCAATAAAAACGAGTTTTGCAAGAAAATATTTTTTCTATCGGATTTTATTAACTTTATACAAAAGACATTATAAAATTTATCTATGTATATTAGGATTGACATGCAGGAATTATTTTCGGGGATAATGAGTATATATGCATATGATCAAACATTAATTTACATTCTCAATTTCATTAGTCTTTTTTCTTTTTTAATATATATGATGAAAGGACGATCATCATGAAATATCAGGACATGTACATTTACAGCAACAACTGTATTTGCTCAAATTTTCGGTGATATACATACAAGAACTTTTAATAAGGTCTTAACTTAACGGTTCTTTGATGAAAGAAAAAAAAACGAGTTTTTGCAATAATTTTATTGCAAAACTCGTTGCGTTGACATGATTTTATTGCAATTTGATTACAACCGGTTTTGCAATAAAAACGAGTTTTGCAATAAAATATTTTTTCGATCTGATTTTATTGACATTATACAAAAGCAATATAAAATTTATCTATGTATATTAGGAATGACATGCAGGGATTATATTCGGGGATAATGAATATGTAATATGCATATGCTCAAACAATAATTTTCATTCTAAATTTCATTAGTTTTTTTATTTTTAATATATATATGATGAAAGAATCAAACAATAAATAACATTATAAATTTCATTACATTTTTTTCTCTTTTAATATATATGATGAAAGAATGACCATCATGAAATATTAGGACATGTACAGTTACAAATAACAACTGTAGTTTTGGACACTCGTGTGCTCAAATCTCAGTGATATACATACATGACATTTTAATAAGGTCTTTACTTACCAGTACTTCGAAGAAATAGAAAAACATCGACTTTTGTAATAATTTTATTGCGAAACTCGTTGCGTTGATATGATTTTATTGCAATTTGATCACAACCGGTTTTGCAATAAAACGAGTTTTTGCAATAAAATATTTTTTTCTATCAGATCATAGAATATCAGGATATGTACATTTACAACATCAACTGTAGTTGCTCAAATTTCGGTGATATACATACATGAACTTTTAATAAGGTCTTAACTTACCCATTCGTTGAAGAAAGAAAAAACGAGTTTTGCAATAATTTTATTGCAAAACTCGTTGCGTTGATCAGATTTTATTGCAAATTTATCAACAACCGGTTTTGCAATAAAAACGAGTTTTGCAATAAAATATTTTTATATCAGATTTTATTGAGATTATACAAAAGACATTATAAAATGTATCTAGTATGTATATTAGGATTGAAAGGCAGGGATTATATCCGGAAATAATGGATATATATGCATATGATCAAACATTAGTTTACATTCTCTTTTCTTTTAATAGATATGATGAAAGTGATATATACATACATGACGTTTAAATCAGGTCTTTACTTACCAGTACATTGAAGAAATAGACAAATACGACTTTTTTATTAATTCAAGGTGCTCACAAGATACTAATAATACAAAAGTGTATACAAATAATTATTGCAAAACAAACTTCGTATATGTCCTTTTATACATATTTATGTTAACTTGATGTTTTTTTCATCTTACCAACTTTTATCAACGATATACGATTTCTTTGACAAAAGTGTATACAATAGCTATATTTGCAAAAATACTGAGCTCTTGCCGCATTCATAATATATTTTATTTAAACGATTGTGGAGTGTAATTACCAACAGTGACAATTAATAAAAAGTTTCTTTATGTGGTTAACATAAAGAACTAATGAAATGCAACAAGTTTACATGGGGCTACTATTTATTTTACGGGTAGTAATTGCATATACATGTATAATTTTTCTAACAAGAAACAGTTGTCGTGAGAGGAAGAGATAGCCTTTATTCTCTTTTCTTTTAATTTTTTAGAAATAGAATATTTCATCATTCTAATAAATCCAAGTCTGTATTTAACTTGTTAAATCACAAACATCAGTTGCATACTCTTACTAATTTTATTCTTACACTCCTCTCGTAAAATAAGTGAATATGCGCTCCAGGAAAACTCATTAACAAGTCGGGGATTTTTACATGATTATAACATAGAATTAAATATGATAAGCATTTTGTATCGCCCTTGTCCCATCATGACACATTTCTCGTCAAATGCAATTTATTTCCAAAACAAAAGTTTATTTAAAAAGAATCACAATAGAAACTAGTTGGCAATACAAATATGTTCGCGTGTGAATCTCTCAATATTTTTATAGAATTAATTACTCTAGACAATTAATTAATGTTTATCCAATTTGTTCCTATCAAATGAGATTCTATCAAATGCTTTCATGTGGATTCAATTAACCAGAAAGTGATGATATAAAATCCCTGCCATAGGTTAAAATATTTTTATTGTCCAAATATTAGATAATCTCGGAATAGTATATTTATTGGTAAATCATCGTCCTCCGCGCCCTTTTATGTGTATACTGAAACAACGGATGACTTTTTTGTCCTATTAACTTCTTTTGTGAAGCCAAACTCTGTTAAATGATTATATCGTTGTAATAGTTTGATAATTCCTCAGGCAAAATTAAAATGTTCAAAAAAATATTTCTATTAAACATGATTTCAATTAATTACTCTGAAATTTTATACCAATGTCCAAAAATGACTTTCTTGATCTACTTACGAATGTGAATATTCTGTTTTAAGATATTCTATTAATATAGTGTTTGTTCGTTATTGAAAGCAATAATAATCTATTCTTATATCATTCTCGCTTGCAACAAAATATATAGAATCGTATACAAAAATATTAAATCACCAAATAGTTTTAAACAATTCAGTGTGACTAGACATTACACCATTGAAAGATAACTAGTGAATCTACTCAAGATATTCCTCGATATTGTGTGATATATAGA